GTGTGTTTGTGTGGGTGGTGGTGGGGGGGGGGGGGGGGGGGGGAGAACCAAGATAAAAATAGATAAATTATACAGGTTGACCTACCAGTTAATCATTCATAATTATTTTTTTCTAAATTTAATTCCCCCCTGCCCTTTGTTGTTTGTTGTTTCAGTTAATTGTTCTGTGCTGGTTCACATGTTTAGTGATGTTACATAGTCTTCGCATTTGGTCCAGAAAATCAAATGAGATGTATACATTGATTGATGCATAGAAAACAATATAGTAGAAAAGCAGCAATTTGGCTTTAGAGATTTTCATAGAGTCAAAATAAAATTGGTGCTAGTGGCCTTTAAACAGTTTCACTGCTGCGAAACTAGCTAATTTCTCAAGGATGTACTTATATTTTGTTGATGTGGAATAATTCATGTCAGTATTTCGACTGCAAAAAAACTAAATTATAAGTGACTAATAATGTAATAATTTGTTATGGTTTTAAATGTTTTTATATTATGCTGAAGTTTTGTAAGTTTTAAATATAATTATTTGTATGCTTTAAACTGAAGTTGCTCACAGACTTTTCAAGACTGATGATTAGTTGTGATGAATAATAATGAAAAGTCGATCATTATTTAATGCACGGGCCGTTTATCCATAGTTCCTATGTCAGGTGCTCGTAAAGAAAAAGTACCGTTCAGGTGTGGTTTAGTAATAACTTAGGAGTTAATGAGGCAATTCAACAAATTATAGTCCAAAAAGTGCTAAGTACTAAAAGAATGAATTCCTGGTGTAGCTACAAATCTTTCCCCTCCATGTCTCAGCTGGTTAGAATATGTTGCACTGTAGGGACACACACATCTAGAAGATAAATACAGGTCAGATGAATCAAGTGTTCATAGGTTAAATGTGCAGAACTGACTTTTAAAGGCAAAACTGCTATTTAGGTTTCTGCTTAGGAAACACAATGCTTTATCTGGTTATACTATATTTACTTCTATGTGGCTGCTTTTGTTTTAAGGCTTTTATGTTGAAAGATACTTTACAGTTATACACATTTCACAGTGTATCATGCTAGGGAATATTGACACTGGAGGTGATGTTTTTGCTTGTTACTTGAGGCGAGTTTTGTTTTAAAACATTATGTATAATTTGACTACTTTTGTTGCGAATTTATTGAATTGAGTAATAAAAGTCTTTTGATATACTGACCATGATTTAGATTGAATTATGCAGATAAATACATAGCTTGTATTTATCTAGCTGTTTTCTATGCTTAATAGTTTCAGTTAAGATTGTTGAATTTAAAGCATGGTAGCTCTTAAATTCCTGAATAGTGCTATGTATGGGTGCATATTTTGAAATAATGGCTGCATATTTATTTTGGGTTTCTTGTTTCTGTTTATCTTAAACCACCTTTTAAAGTTTTTTGAGATTGACACACTGCTTTTAGGTAGTACGCTACTTTTCTTTGAAAAATCTTGGCATGTGGTGGCCACATAAAGACTACAGTGTGATTTATTTTAGATCTAGGTAATATGCTTTTCCTATTAATTGAACAGGTACTGCCCTTTTATTTATCACCAAATTGAAGAATACTTGGTATTCTCCCTGTATGATAATTAACACATTTTTTTTAAATATCTAAAAGGAAAGTTTGTTGTAATATTTATATTTTGTTTGCCAGAAAATGTATGTATTTCTTTTCAGAGATCTTTCATCAAAGGAAATTAATGTTAAGATTATTTTAATGGAATTGTTTATTCACACAGTAAGATGACATAAAAACATGATGGGTCAAATAATCTCTCAGAGATTTCTGTACAGAAAGTGGTTTTTTTCCCCAGCATCTTAGCATTATTTATTTACTAGCCAATTGCCCATCAAGAATGACGGAGGGCAGGGGTGGGGTGGGGAGGGGAGAGCTGGGATGGAGTGCTGCCACCTAACGCCCCATGCTGCCACTGTTTTGCCTCTTTCAGGGAGTGGGGTGGGGGAGCCGAGGCCAGCAGTGCTGGCCTCGACTCCCCAACCCTCTGTCCGGTCCTTGGCACAGCTTCGGAATTATGGCAGCACTTCCCCATGCTTGGAGCACTGTGATTGATTGGCTGTTTCCATCAGCCAATCAGAGCACGGATAAAGTGTTACAGACAGACTTAGGCTTTTATAATACTAGAATTGACGTAGTTACTCATCAAAATGAGAGAGGATGAACTGGAAAATTCTATTTGAGAGAGGATGTGGGGAATTTTAGAGTATTTCATCAGACACTTGGGAAATACAGGAGTAGGAAAGAAAGTTGTTTTGGATTAGTCAGAGGAAGACGTGTGTGTGGCTTAATATTATTTGCTCTCTCAACCCTTTTCTATGATGCTGTCTTCCTGTTGGAGATGGTAGTAATACAACATGCTCCTTGTCCTCTACAGAGTTAACATGTTTTATGCTTTGATTCTTTCGTCTTTTTCTGAGGAAATCTATAGAGAGAGAGAATATTTTCTCCATAGTTAACCTTCAGGCACTAGAAAAATCTTATCAGAATTCTCAGATTATCTAGGGCTGTCTTGAATACCTTTACTTTTTCCTTATTTCACCAGAACTGTTTCCATACCCTTGGCCTTCAGAGTGCTTGCTTCTATGCCTCGATAACAGTAGCTTGACAAACTGTTTCCAGTTCTACTGAGGAGAATCATGTCCAGGGTCAAATACCAGATGTTTCAGTATGGATTTAGCACTTAGAAAGGACATTCATATTCCTTAGTGTAATGGTGATTTATCTTTGTCACCAAGTATACTTTGCACTGTAGTTTACAAATCTGAAACAAGCCCATTGGCCAGAGTGTCTTCAGTAGGTTTAACCAGTGGGTTTCTTTTTCCTGTGACTAAGCAACTAGTATTGTCTTTAAATATAGATAGCTAAAAGCTTATGACCCCTTGAACTCTAGCAGTATGGTGTAGAGACACACATACAGGATGCGTCTACACAATATTTACTGCACAGTATACTAATTAGGTGCACAGTAAATTTTGTGTATCTACACATCACCCCTACTAGGCTGGGGTAAACTAATTTACTCTGCAGCACTTTTATTTGTACTCTTCTGCTGTGGAGTAAAAAAACTCTGCAGCAGCATATGTGTAGCTACTGCCTTGGCTGGCTGGGACACAAGGGTGCTTCGGTATGGGGGCTGTCTGTTGGCTAGACCCACACTGAAGTTCCCTTGTGTCCCAGACAGCACCTCCACAGCACTTTGATCTGGGGAGGAGCAGCCCTGATCCCCCTGGAGCCTCTGCCAGCCGGGACTGCTCCAACTCGTGTGTAAATGCTAACAGCCCTCATTGCAAACATCTTGCTTAATTATATATGTAGCATTGTATGGACTATGTTTTTCTGAGTACTCTAATTATTTTTTCCTACAAAAATCCAGCTAAGCAGCCTACGCTAACAACCCACAATGTGCTGCAATCCCCGGTGCATGTGTAAATGCTTGCCCAGGAGCAATAAACTGTGGTGCAGTTAGGACCAGAGTTTATTGGATTGCATTAATATGTATGTGTAGATGTGCTCACAAAATTCCTGATTAAAGGATCCCTCCTAGTAGATACTTCATGGTGCTATACATATTAGCATAATTTCTTCTTTTATTTGATTGTGGTTTGATATCAATTGAATTGATTTGAGTCCAATGGAAAGAGTATTTAAAGTGATTATTTAGGACAAATATCAACATCACAAAAAATGAAAAACTTACTGCCAGGCTTTACTCCGCTCGCCACTCCAGTGAGAGAAACCCCCCTCTCTCCCCTCCACCACACACACATGCAACATCATAAATTAGTGTAACTTTAAAAATGTTTAAATGATTTAGGCCTTAAATGTGCTTAAAGATATTTATCCTGAAGTATGTGAGCCTGAGACTATCACGCCCTATTAGGGCCTGAATGCCTATTGAATTGAAAAGGAATTAAGTACCTAAATAGCTTTTAAGTACTGATGAAAGCTTCCTAACCTCCACTGAAAGATTCATTCTTAATTATTTTAAATACTTTGACATTTTTATTTAAAGTCTTTGTTAACAATGTTGTTTTCTCATTCAGATATAGTTGTGAAGGTGTATCAGTTTGTCAGAGAGATTTTGAAATGTATTCCAATTAAAATGAGGCAATCTGGCAAAAGTCTAAGATTGGTTATTAAGAAGCAAATCAAGCAAGTTAAGAAGCAAATCAGTCTTTTAAAATACAGATGCCAGTTGTACACATTGTTAAACTTTGTTGCTCATTCCTATGTGATTAAAATTTCCTAAACAGCTTTGTTTGGAAACAGTTATTTTACTGCCTTGTTAATGAATTGGGTAACAGTGTTTTGAAGAGTAACTGTGAACTAATCTTCCTAATGTTTCCCTAATGATAAGAATGGTTATAGGCATAGTATTTAGGAGTATAGAAAATATAATCCAGAGTAGTTAATGCTGTAACTTGTTACTTTTGTTCACTCCCGAAAGGTTTATGTGCTCCTTACTTGCTGTA